AATTTATTCAATTGAAAACTCTAACGGATATTCCAATGGTAGAATTTTCGTTGGAATCCAGCGAAAATATTCCGTTGGAATGTGTTTTCCATTGGAATTTTATATGGACTTTGATGATTCCAACGACTATTTTTTCAACGGCTTTTTACCGTAGGAATTTCTTTTGGAATATACAATTTCCGTTGTAATTTTTATTTCCACCCCCGTAGGGAAATCTACCATCAAAATCGTCAAAATTCAACAGAAATTTTAACGGAAAACTCATTCCAACTAAAATTTTTTGTTGGAATTTCCGTTGGAATCCATTAAAAAATTCTAACGGGAATAATAGCATTGAAAAATATTCATTGGAATTGCCGTTGGAATTCTATTTGAATATATTTCAGTTAGAATTTCATTATTTTTTTGTAGTGAAATTTAGTAATAACAGCTAGGCTACAAAGACTTACTCCAACATAACGAGACAATCAATTAATTTATATTTTGTACTTACTAATATATATAATTATTTTGCATCTAGAGTGTAGCTAGTAATCATAGTGGTAATTAAATTGATATGTCTCATGAAAGACTATAAAAATACATATAGAGTGATATATAATGCTTTTGTCCTTTGGGGCTTAATAGTTGGGCATTAAACATACGATTAATTAATAAGAATTATATGAATGGCAGTGGAGATGGGAAAGTGCTGTGCTGGGTTGTTCCTTCCTTTTCTACCTGCAATTGACCAGATACTTTGTAAGTGCATCTCATCTTCATACTATAAATTTGGGTAACTAATTGATCATTATATATTATTGTATAATATAATGTAGGAAATGTATAAATATATCCTCAATTTTTGGTTCTTTCATTAATTGTCAGGATATGAGTAACTAAATTTATGAAAGGGCCCACCAAACAATGATATGGGTTTGCTAGATCAATAATTTCATGAATTTTGTCAATTCAAATAATACAACTTGGATTTTAGCTAAGGCTTCAATTTTTCTAAGTTAAAACTCCTACTCTATATTGCAATGGTTAATTTAGCTATAAATATGTAACATATATATATATATATATATAATTATGTGAGTTTTTGCGTTTTTTCTCAGAGCAAAAAGAGGGCAAAGCTTTTCTGGATATCAGCAATGGCTCCACTAACATCGGTGATATTGGGAAGTTTACTTGTCTACTTCACACATGCCGAAAAACATGGTATCCAAGTGGTAAGGCATTTGTATACTTGGCAGATAATTAATGACTTTAATATTTTTGGTATTTTTGCTAATTTTATATATATGACCGATTGACCGACATATATTACAAGCAGTTAGGTAATGTATGAGAGCTTAGCTCGAACGAATATATATATTTTAATTATTATTTGGTGAAGCACTTTTCTACATAATTTTAGTATATATATATATATATATATATATATATATATATATATATATATATAACCTCATTACTTTCAACAGATATTAAATTATTTGTCAAGAAGATGTCACATTAAAGCATTACAACTTACAAGTAACTTCAATTGCTGTAAAAGTACTTCCAAAAAAATGTGAAATTCATAAAATAATTTATTTAGGACGAGAACTTTTGGGTCATGCTTCCTCCATAGCTGTCAGGACACACTTTGTTATATATTATCATCATTAGTATTCAAAAATTCTATAAAGTCATCGGATGATTTTTTCCACCCCTTAAATCCAATATTAGATCATCATTAGTATTATTGTTACTATTGTTACTTTCAACAAAAAGCTAGTTTTCTAATTTAAACAATCAATTTATTCATAATAATACTTTGCAGATTGGAGAATTAAAGAAAGGGATAAATCCAGCATCACTTATGGATATCAACTTCGATTCAAAATATCTAGCGGGAACAATCAAAACTGGCATCGTCACTGGAATCATAGCCCTTGCTGTAAGCTGTTACTTTTTCCCGAAGATATCGACCCTACATTTTTATACAGTGCATATATATACCGAGCTCATCACCATTAGATCACATGCACTCATACATACACACACTTGTATGTGTTGATCCAACGGTGATTTAGATGGGTTCAGATTTTCTGCTCCATGTTCTATTTTGTGTTCCACTCTATTGGATGAATGACACGTGCAAATATGACATCATCATCTACAAAGTGGAGTAGGAAATCTCATTCCCCAATTTAGAAATAAATTTCTCTATAATTAAATTTCATGAATTCTAGTGTGCCATAGGTCACAACTCACAAATATTCACTTCATTTCAAACATTTATGAGTACTACATTGCTAATTAAATTAATTGAGATACACAAATAACATATAGGAAGGAATAGCTGTGGGTAGAAGCTTTGCAATGTTGAAGAACTACAACATTGATGGTAACAAAGAGATGATTGCTTTCGGGATGATGAACATCGCCGGTTCTTGCACGTCGTGCTACCTAACCGCGGGCCCGTTTTCTCGGTCGGCCGTTAACGTTAATGCTGGATGCAGAACAGCCGTGTCGAACATAGTTATGTCGTTCGCGGTCATGATAACGTTGCTCTTCCTAACTCCGTTGTTCTTCTACACGCCTCTCGTCGTTTTATCATCCATAATAATAGCGGCCATGCTCGGCCTCATTGACTACGAGGCTGCAATCCATCTATGGCACGTCGACAAGTTCGATTTCGTCGTGTGCATGAGTGCGTATATTGGAGTCGTCTTTGCCAACATCGAGATCGGCTTGATTCTCGCGGTATATATATTCATAAGTTGCATATACTTTTGTCACGATTATGTTACTTTAAACATTACATCAATTTTAAAATCAACAATTATTAGACTTACGCATCATTCTGGTCATCCTTTATGTCACCAAATTATGTTAATGTAGTTTAATCCACGTAGGATCATGCTACAATGACATAAAGTTGACATAAAGTTTAACATAATAACACGTGTCACGATGATTTTGCTACTTTACACATCACATCACTTTTAAAATCAACAACTATTAGACTTATACATCATTCTTTATGTCACCAAATTATGTTAAAGTAGCTTATTCCATATAGAATCATGCTACACTAACATTATGTTTGACATAAAAACATGTGTCACGATCCTACTATTTTACGCATCACATCATTTTTAAAATCAAGAACTATTGGACTTACACATCATTCTGGTCATCCTTTATGTCACCAAATTATTTCAAAATAGTTTAATTCACGTAGGATCATGCTACACTGACATAAAGTTTGACTTAATAACACGTGTCGCGATCTAGTTATTTTACGCATCACATCATTTTACTTTTAAAAATCAACAACTATTAAACTTACACATCATTTTGGTTATTATGTACGTCGCCAAATTACGTTAAAGTAGATTAATCCACGTGTGTATAATTGATTTTGAACATGTTTTGGAATTTGTGTCTGCAGATCGGGTTGTCGATTATGAGGGTACTTTTGTTTGTTGCAAGGCCGAGGACGTTAGTTCTCGGCAACATACCTAACACTAAGGTGTACAGAAATGTGGATCAGTACCAGAATGCAAGCAGTGTCCCAGGAATTTTGATACTAGAGATTGACTCTCCAATTTACTTTGCCAATTCAAATTACCTACGGGAAAGGTATTTGAGTAATTGAAATAACTAAAGATATATGGTTTTGGTGTTCAATGTTCATTGTTTTAGTTTCTTATTTTGTTCAATTTTTGTTATCACATTTGTAAATCAGAATTTCGAGATGGATTGATGATGAGGAAGACAAATTAAAATCATCAGGAGAGACAGCATTGCAGTATGTTGTGCTTGACATGAGTGGTGAGTCATTCAATTTTTATTTAAATGGTTTTAGGGTATATTTTGGTAAATCTAACTTAATAAGCTAACTCGTTGATAAGTTAACTTGAAGTTAATAAGCTATTTTGAGCTTATAATCGATACTTTATAGTTGATGCCTGAAAAGCCAGCTTATATAATAAGCCAACGAATTTTTCTCTCTCTTTTTTTTTTTTTTTTTTTTNCCTTTCAAACCATCTTACTTGAATATATACCAGAAGCTTTATAATTTAATAATTAAATAAGTTATAAGTTAGTTCATGATGCTTACCAAACATTCTTAAAACTGCATTTCTTTAACTAATAATCTTCTCCGCTTGTTAGCCGTTGGAAATATCGACACGAGTGGTATCAGCATGCTCGAAGAGGTTAAGAAGATCGTTGATAGAAGAAACCTCCAGGTTCAGTTAACTCAAATTCACTTTTTATTCTGAATCGACATTTGTGTAATGCAATATCTCAATCTTGAAATTGACAAGATCATGTTTGAACACGATCAAGCAGCTAGCGCTAGTGAATCCCGGGGCAGAGGTTATGAAGAAGCTGAACAAGTCGAAATTCCTAGAGACAATAGGCCAAGAATGGATCTTTTTGACCGTTGGGGAAGCTGTTGGAGCCTGCAATTACATGCTTCATTCTTGCAACTCGAAAATTGTGAATAATGAATATGAGAAATATAGCGATTACGCGTGAGCCTGGTTAATTATGGGTGTAATATTTGAAGGCGTGGAGGCAAATCTTTTTATTATGTACCTCCAAAATAATGTTGTAATGTGACATTTGAGTGATATTGGGAGTGCTTATAGCTGTGACTTGGTTTGAATTCAAATTAAGATACACAATAGGAACTTCATAGTTTATGGAAGGATATATTTTCCAGTGACTCGACTCTAAGACGTATACAGGTCGAAATGGGACTCGGGTTTTTTGGACCACTCGAAAAATTTCGCACATAAGTCAAATGTTTTAAATTAACAGCTATCACATTAACAATCTTCCAAGGTTTAGGTCAAATGTCATATTTGAAATATATTAATAACATTATCAGATAACTTTTATGCAATTTTTTAACATCTCTTTCAAATAATGCACCTTAGTGTACATTTTTCACTCACAAACCTTTCTAAACTAATTTTTTCTTATCTCGAAAAAAAAAATCCGAATAGCAAAATATGAATCCCGACTTTTGGATTAAAGGTGAGTATCCGGGCGAACACACACTGAAGCCAATGGAGGGGCTGCATGAAGCGGGCCCACGTCCGTTTCTTACAAAGACTTTCGAGATGGTCGATGATTTTCAGACAAAGCACATTGTGATTTGGAGCAGGGGAGGACATAGCTTTGTTGTCTGGGATTCTAATGCCTTTGCCAGTAAAATACTTCCCATATACTTCAAACACCACAATTTCTCCAGCTTTGTTAGGCAGCTCAATACCTATGTAAGTCAAGTCTTTTCTTTTCAAACTTGAAAACCTTTTGTGTGCAATTATTATTCAATCTCAATAACATGTTTCTGTCAATGTTCTGATGAGTTCTGTTTGTCTGCTGACTGCTGCTGCATAACATAACTAAAGGCAAAAATGCATTTTTAGTCATGTTGGTTTAACGTCAAGCAATATTAGTCTCAAGATTCCAACTTTTCGCCTTTTAGTCCTGTGATTTAATATTTATTTTAGTTTCAAGATTCCAACTTTTTGCTTTTTAGTCATGTGATTTAATATTTTGCTGCAATTTCAGTCATATAAGAATATAAGGCTGAAATTGCAACAAAATCTTAAATTACATGACTTAAATTGTTAATCGAAAATTTGAGAATTTGTTGCAATTATAGTTCTCAAATAATTGAAATTGCATCAAAATATTAAATCATATGACCAAAAAGCGAAATATTAAAATCTTTGGACTATAATTGCTATAGCGTTAAACCACCAGCACTATTAAAATCGAAGCGAAATATCAAAATCGTTAGTTCCGTTACGCGTTTGTGATCTTTTCATTGTTTTTTGGTTAGACCTGAGAGTGGAAGATTCATCTGAAGATATATGTACAAACCACAAGCTCAACAAAATGTGATCATTGGTTAGTTTAGAAGTCAGCCTGAACTGACTTTTCAGTCTTTGCTCAGCCCGAGCATTCCTACCTTGCCTCGAGCGCTAGGGACAAAGGATGGGTGGAATGAGGCTCGATACCGAAGACAGAATCCATCCCTGATGCTTATGTCTGGCCGGGTGAGGGGTAGTTGGGAATTCCTTTTCTTTTTTCGAAATACCGCTTCCACGAAGACTTTGGCACAACGACTAGACAGTTCGAAGAAGGCAGAGCGACCGCGTGGTAAAACTTCAGCCTACGAACAGATCTCTTCATAACGAATCGAGATTTCAAATTAGCTCCGGGCCTATTATTTGCCCCAGAAAGGGAATCGACTTCTGACCTGACCTTCTGAGCTGCCGCCNGAAACTGGCAAGCCTGTTAAGGAGTTGGTATCGAAGATCTCTCAAAGTATCAGTCAATATCTGTACCATCGCTTCTATTTGATGTAATATAGTATAGAGATCGGTTGAAGGTGAATAGGGTGAGATCCATTAAAGTAGATGCTTCCCTGGCTTGCTCGAGACGTTCTTCGAGCCAATCATAGACTTTATTGAGATAGGTGAAAATCCCCCTCTCAGAGCCGTATATGAGACTTTCATCTCGTACAGCTCAAGCAAAAACACCCAAATAAAATAATAGTAGGATCGGACATGTAATAGAAAGTTTGAAACTTCTGAATCTCCGATTCAATCTTCTCTACATCTACGAAAGAAGAAAAAAATCCAAAAGTTCTTCTTTGTTTTGTAGTGATAATTTTCTTCTTCCTTATCCAATTCCTCCTTTGGGGGTGCTGCCCTTCTCTCTCCAAATCCCCTTCCCGGTAAATCGAGTAGATGTCGGTTGTGAAGGCGCATAATCGGTTGTGTCGCAAGATCCGCTGTTGTATATGTTCCCATCGAGGGAAGACCTATGAAGCCCCATTTGAGTACAAATTTAGCAAAACTTCAAGATACAAAATTCATGATGATCAAATTACTTAAAGAGAAGCCGGGTTCTTAATTACGCAGGGATTCAAAAAGATCGACTCGGATAAATGGGAATTCGCCAATGAGCATTTCGTCAAGGGTAAAAAGCATCTCCTCAAGAACATAAGAAGGCGAAAAATCGTCATCTCATGCCATTATAATTCCTCACCAACAATCTTCAACAAACCCATTCATCAAAGTCGATAAAAACAGCTAACAATGTCATGATTGAACTTCAATGAAATTAGGCAAATTCTCTCATCGGGGAGCCACTATTCTCTCATCGAGGAGCCGTAATTCCGTCGAAGGAGGGTTTTCTGTCTCAAATTTGAAAGCCTATCACCTCTTTATCGTTGCCATCTGATTCTTAACCTTCTCTCCTGCTAGATAACTGATAGATAATGTGGTTATAGCACATGAAGTTCTCCATTTTCTCAACAGGCACAGGAGTGGTAAACATTGTTTCATGGCATTAAAACTTGATATGGCCAAAGCATTGGACAGGTTAGAATGGAGAAGTATTCAACTAACCATGTTAAAAATGGGGTTTCATCCAAAATTTGTAAAATGGATATGGCCTGTATCACAACACCCACATTCTCTTTCAATCTATATGGTAAACCCTGTGGTTTTGTTACAGCATCAAGAGGTGTAAGGCAGGGAGATCCTCTATCCCCCTACCTTTTCATTCTAATCTCTGAATTATTATCTGCTAGGTTGAGCTCAGAAGCAGAAAGGGGAACTTTCAAAGACACTAGAATTGCAAAGGATGGGCCACAACTCACACATCTGCTCTTTGCAGATGATCTTCTTATTTTATGTAAAGCAGAGATGTCCCAGGCAAACAAAATCCTTCACATCCTGCAGGATTATTCACATTTCACTTGCCAAAGGGTGAATATTGAGAAGTCCTCAATATATTTCAGTAGAAATACCACCCCAGATGTCCAAGATAGGTGTTGCCAGATTCTTAATGGTATCAACTTGCGATTCTCAACCAGATATTTGGGGTTACCAATGGGGATTGGAAAATCTAAAAGAGATGCTTTCAGTTATGTTCTAGCTGTGGTGAAAAGCAGAATTCTTAGCTAGAAAAACAAATGGCTATCCCCGGCTGGTAGGGAAGTACTAATAAAAGCTGTAATAAATGCACTTCCAGTCTTTACAATGTCTTGTTTTCTGCTTCCTGTTGGATTGTTCAAAGAAATATCTAGTGCTTGTGCAGGATTCTGGTGGAGTAAGGGAGACAACACACAGAGAGGCATACACTGGAAAGCATGGGATCAAATGACACTTCCAAAACCCCAGGGTAGCCTTGGGTTCCAAGATATTCAAATCTTCAATGAAGCTCTTATAGCAAAGCAAATATGGAGGCTACTGACACAACCCCAACTGTGGGTTAGTAGAATTATCAAAGCCAAATATTATTCTGACTCTTCAATATTGGCTGCAGAAAGGAAAGTTAATGCTTCATGGCTTTGGAATTCATGGCTAAAAGTCAGAGACAATTGTGCTAAATGGATGCAGTCTGTGATCCATAATGGGAAAGGTACAAGAATTATTGATGATTATTGGGTGCCTAACACTGCAGGAAAGAGACTGCAATTCAAGCCTAGAGCATGAGAAAATCTGAAATGGGTTAGTCAGCTAATCTCTCCGGATGGCAAAAGTTGGGATGTAGATACACTCAGAGAAAATTTTTCAGAGGAGGATTGCTCATCAATTATGCAGTTGAATACCTTCAATCCAGAACATGATGAATGGGTGTGGAATCAAGATAAGAAAGGGAATATTTCTATATCTAATACATATGCTCTTCTCATCAAGCAGAAAATTCTCAAAATGGATCAGCCACAAAGTAGCACATCAATGCTGAAGGACCAGAAGGCCTGGACCAGGCTTTGGAAGCTAAAAGTGAAAGGTAAGATCAAGCATTTCTTATGGAAATGTGTCTCTGGAATCTTACCTGTTGGGGTTAATCTTCAGAAAAAGGGGATGGAAATTGACATATATGTAAAGTATGTGGATTTGATGATGAAACATTGGAACATGCTCTTTTCAATTGTCCAAATGCACAGTTGGTATGGAATTTAGCTCCGGTTAATTGGGAGGGACCAAAAGAGCAAGATAGTTTTAAAGATTGGTGGTGGCAAATCTCAGAACTTAATAAAAGTGAAACTTCTGAAGCCCGTATCCAGCTCTCCACGTATATATTATGGTGGCTTTGGAAGTGTAGGAACCTTTCTGTTTTTGAAGGCTCAAAAAGGCCGGCTCCTCTGATAGTTGAAGGCTCAAAAAGGCCGGCTCCTCTGATAGTTGAAGGCACAGTAAAAGAATGGACAGAATACATGGAGGCTAGTCGGCAGTCGTGCATGGAAAGAAGAAGGCAGTAGCAGATGGTCTAGGACCTTTATGGATTAGTGGAAGTCTAGCTATTGTCTTTGATTTATCATTGTTTTTTATTGTTTCTATAATTTTTAGATGGAGATTGGGAGCTTAAGTCTCGGACCATATATTAACTGCTTAAGTTCTTAACAATTTATGTGTGTATGTAGACCACCTGCGAGTGGATCTCCCTTTATTAGGCTTTGTATTGAACCTTGATTTATTACATGATATGAGAATATCTATCGTTTCGAAAAAAAAAGAAAAAAAAAAATCAAAGTCGATAAACTATTCGGACATGATCACGAAATCGATCGATTGAGACATAACGGGCCCACCTGCACCAAATGGAGGTAAAGTTGCGAAAAAACGAGAAAAAACAGCAGCAAATGATGAGGTTCCTAGCAAAGGCGATCCGTAATCCCGAATTCATCCATAAGTTGATGCAAATGAAGGAGGAGAGGACAAATCGAGGACGATATTGGTAAACAAGGGCAAAGGCCGATAGATTTTAGTCGAGTTAAAATTGAGCCTTAGGACAAGTTTGGAAGTTTTTACGGGTGCCAAGTGTCGGAACTCGAAGCACTCGCGTTGGAAATGCAGGGGTTCGGTAGGGCCGAAAGGGAGAACGAGGAAAAAACAGAAAGGGCTCGGCGAATTTGAGATGTGTTATGATGATGATGATGATGATGATGATGATGATGATGATGTTGATGATGAAGAGCTTGATGAGGGGTTTTGGGAGGAGTTTTTTAGTGAGGGGTTTGGTGAGTTTGAAGGTGATGATGATGAAGAGGAGGAAGAGGATGTGAAGCTGTTGGCTGATAGGTTTGGGTATTTGGGGTCAAGTCCAAATAAGTGAGAACAAAAAAATGTTTGAAATGTGGACAATTTATTTATTTATTTGTTTATTTTTTATCTTTATTTTGGTTCTTTATGGTTGGTATGTGACTGCGAATTTGTGTTTTTAGTTGGCATTAAATTAAACGAGTCTGGCTTAATTCGGCTCTCGTTTGGTTAACGAGTTGATCTCGACTCGGTTCAATAAGCCTCGTTTAAGCTCGAAAAGATAAGTTTTATATAATTTTATATAGTTCGGTCGGTAAAGTTTGAGATCGACTTATTAAGACTCAATTCGTTAATAGTGATAAACGAGCCGAGTTCGAGCTCGAGCACACCTAAGCTCGAGCATAGCTAATTTACAGGCCTAGTTGGTATCTCAAATCAGGTTGGATTAGAGTAGCTTTTTTGGTTTTTTTTTCTTTTTAATTTTTTTTATGTTCGAGTATACATCCAAATTCCAATCCCAAATAGAAGAATGATCCATGATTGGGAGAATTTTGTAATAGAACGGTGATTTTGTATATATACTAATTATTTAATTATTTTTTTATTGGTAGATATATATGCTTCTTTTAGGAGTTAAGATAACATATNTTGCCGGGAATTGAACCAGGGTCTCCTGGGTGAAAGCCAAATACCTAACCACTGGACGACAACGGATTTGGGATTTGCGCTGTTTAATTCCTGTTATCAATTAATATCAACTAATAGTTACAATATCAATTTATTTTGTACTTGTGTTATTAGGATTTTAATAATTTACCACATCTCTCTCTTCCCTTTCTATATACTAAGGGTGAGTTTGGTTGGCAGGGATTTATTAGGATTGATATAATCACTTTGATATTATCAAAGGCTATCTACTAATTCAACTTGACCATTAACTTGTTTGGTTGGTTATTGATAATTGTAACTTTTAAGTTGAAATTATTATTTTGCCCTTCATGATAATTAAATTTGCAAATCTTACCCACTGCAAAATCAGATTTCTTCACCGAGAGACGATGAAATTGACATAAATTCCAACATGATTATCGATAATATCATTAATTCCTGGTTCATGAAGCAGTAAGATTTGACTCCCAACACGTAATTATCCATATTCCTGGTGAACTTCAGAAGCCCTAGATTCAACATCGAGCTCGAGCCCTCGATCCTCGCATGCGGCACGAAGAGGAAAACTAGGTTGTGCCTGCGGAGCAAGCCTCGTACGGCGCCATGGCAAATATAAACAAAGTCGATTCGAATTGTAATAAGTGAACGAGCCGGCACCATGACAATTGTCTCGTGAAAATTGGGAAAGAAAGGGGAAGGAAATTGGGGAAGAAAGGGAAATTTGGGGAAGGAAATTGGACAGAGAAGAAAATGGGGAAGAAACGGGAATGAAATTGGGCAAGGAAACTGGGGAAGAAAGGGGAAGAAAAAAAAACCCGATAAAAAAAAAGGGGAAGAAAATTGGAAAAGAATGTGGAGATTGGGAAGAAAGGGGCTGGACGAAAGGGGAAGATGGAAAGAAATTAGGGAAGAAATTGGAGGAGGGAAGATGGATAATTTAGGTGTTTTATTTAATTAATAATAAATGATACCTCATCCCATCATAATGGTAGGATACGGAATACAAAATAAAAGGACTAACAACCGGGCTTTTGCGGGTTTAACGGGCTATACAAAGGCCAACCAAACAAAATAAACAACTTGATATATTAACAAATGGTGGGATATCAAGCCTAATCATGCCTACCAAACGCACAGTAAAAGATAAAATTATTGTACATCCATCCATCTTATAAAATGGTCCATGGACCCTGCTTTTATTTTTTCACCATCAGCATTATATTTATACACCTTACAATTTCTCCCAATTTCTTCCAACTCATTAGTCCCCTGGAGAAAGTGTGTTTTATTTTTAATGCACTTTAAACATCCATTCCCTATCTATCTCTTATCACCTATCTAAACCACTCTCAATCCACCTTTAAAAAACAGCACCAAGAGAACAAATATATGTCAGACTGTTGACGAAGTAAACCAAACTGTTGACGAACCTTTGATTAGATTATATGTCAAGCACTATTATAGACACATGAAATCCAATATTAATTACACCATGCATTAGAACACTACGATGCACAACACTTTCATCTACAAGATGTTTTATAATGTGTAGTACCTCAAGCATTCCGCTTTTTAACAGCAGATATGATGCTGGAAAAATATTGGAAACGCGAGGTTTAAGACGAATCAGTTCATTGCATCTTCATTGTCATAAATCTGAGTAGTGAACAACACACCAGGTTTCAACATGTTCTGATATACTTAAACATATCAAAAAATCAATCAAATTGATCAAGATAACACAATATGATAAAGCCTCCAAGTTGAGAGAACCCGTTAGAAATAGAAATAAATTTGAACAGGTAAAACGGCACCAATAGAAATTTGAAAAGAAAAATGCTCGATTGGCTTTACCTTTCACAATTCGTTTTGTAGTTAAAATGACAAAAAAAGGTCGTGCAAGATGTAACCTCCTCATAATATATCACCCAACTTCTGAACAACTATAAATATAATATTACGAGCAGAAAGCTTAAGGAAGAACACAAGGCTACCAACAGAGGTATCTTAACTCCTGACTAAATGCAACAAGATAAACCCAAAATATTCAAAATATATGATACACATTCTATACTGTAAAGTTCAAAAGTGAAGTTACCATCATTGGGAAATGAACACATATTTGCACCTCCACTTCCTCCCACTGTCCATAGAAGTGACATATGGGTCCATATAAGTGAGACATCTTTTACAAGGCAAAATTTCAAATTTGGTCCGTTTACTTGTCTAAAGTCCTTTTTTGATACACTAACTTTCCTCTTATCAAAAATGGTACTGTATATTGCAATTTGTATCATTTTTGGGTCATTACTCATAAAAAATAATACATTATGATGCAATTTGTATCATTTTTGGGACATTAATCCCAAAAAATAATGAACCATTTGGGATTAATGTCCCAATGATGATACGAATTGCAACATAAAGTATGATTATTGATGAGGAGAAAGTAGTGTACCAAAAAAGGACTTTAGACAAGTAAACGAACCAAAATTGAATTTTTCCCTCTTTTACAACGTACAATGCCTGTGGTGGAAAAGTTAACAATTGGAACTCCCTCCTAAACCAAAATCAATCAAAAAATCGGGAATTTTGTGGAATTGCACTTGAACTCTAAGCCTCATAGGGATAAGAAGCGCTTTTCGAATAAGAAGTTTTGAGACTTATGACTTCACTTCGCTTCGCTTCGTTCGTTGGATCTGATATGGCACATGATAACAGCTCGGTGAACCGGCAGAAAATGGGCTCGGCCTAGTGAGCCGGAGTTAGTAAGGGTCGGTGTCAGCAGCAATAATAGCTCGGCTTTTGGAGCTCGGCTTTCAGGAATGTTAGCTGCTCGGCATTATATTGATAGCTCGGTTTGCTGAGCAGATTAGTTGGACCAAGAGCTTGGACGCTAGTAGCTCGACATTACAATGATACTAATAGCTCGACTCCATAGGTATGCTGGTAGTTGTTTAGCCAAATAATCATGTCAGTACCTCGGTCGAACGGATGCTATAGCAACTCAGCTAAGGAGAGCTTGTTATTAGCTCGGTCTCATAGTTACATTGGAAGCTCGGGAGTATATGAGCTCGGCTCAAGTAGTAGCATCAGCTCACTAATAGACTTCAGAGTTGGTTGAAGCGCTGAGCAGATGTGACAGTTACACAAATGGGTCCACATGGGACACATGGGACACGTGTAGGATCAGGATAACAAAGGAGTAATAGATCCAACGGAGGAGAAGCAAAGCGTAGGGAACAAGCTAGTAACTTCATAGGTAAACTATTGGAGGAGGTAAGGTTATTCTAAAATCCCTAAATTCTATACACAACTTCCTTCTATCTTTGACCTCTTACTGACTTGAGCATCGGAGGTTTATCGCTGGGAGGTGTCTTTGCAAGTCTTGGACGGGTCGAGGATTGGAGGGAAGCCGGTTCAAGTGCAGGAGCACATCAGGGTCAATGTAATTGAACCAGAATAGAAAAGGCAGCTGAGACTTGCAGACCAAAATAACCAGTTAGGTTTGATTTGATACGCAAGCAATTCTGAGCTAATGAATGCCAATGAGTGCTATCAATTTAGATGGTAAATAAAATCAGCTGTATATCAAAATGCTCTTAGAACTTTTGCACAGCCACACACAATTCAGTGTTGAAAAACACTAAAAAGGTAACATAATATCATAGAAGGTAGCTCCAGAATTCAATTTACTAAGAGAATAACTGCAATCGGTCAACAGAGAACAATATGGAAACAGCCACATTTTTGAACGAACTAAAAAGCAACAGGCAACAGCTACTTCTCTTCATCCAATCGAATTAATCATTTCGAAGTAAAAGAATCTACAGAGACCTAATTTTCGGAATAATTAACGACAGACCCATACTTATTCATCAACAAACGAAACCTCGCCAACAATGTTACTCGCTAACGGTAGTTAAATTCCAGAATGGGGAAAATTCAGATCACCTGATCGGAGATCCTGGAGGTGGAGAAACATGGCAATCAAGAGCCGACGACCGCTGGGAAGACTCGGCGGAGAGAGAAACTATCTCTCGATTCGAAGCTTTTTATCTCTCTAAACGAATCCGTCGCCATTTTTCGTCATTGCTTTTTACGGGTACAAGACGAAGAAGCCTCATATGCACCTAATGTCAATTTTCCTTTCTTTTTAATACTAGTACAATATCCATACACGGATATTAAACTAAAAAGTTTTTTAAAAAATATTAAATTTTTTATTTTTCTTAAAAAAAAATTTAAATAATTTAATTTTATATAAAACATTGTTTTGGATTTTGATTAAATTATCAATTTATATTTTTTAATCATAATAATTAAACACCAGTACATTAAATGAAAACTAGTACGTACCCCGTGCTATGCACGAGACAAATATATTAAATAAGTTATTTCAACAGGCTATGTTCGTTTAAGTCTAAAAAAATAATAGTTTAATCAGCTTGTGTTTTTTGGCCAGAATATTAAATATGAGCTATAAACATTGTTGTCATATAATGTCATTATTATTTATAAAATTTATAAATTGTTGATGTCTAAAAATGACCAACAATGTGTTCAAACTGTATACTGAAATGTATACTCGGTTCGGTCTGCACGAATAAGAATTTATGTGGTATTTGGTACGAAAAGTAATACAAATGTAAGCTCTATCTGTGACTTTTATGGTATTAATGAGAGCATTTACTCATTGTGTTTAATGTTGCCTCATGCTCCTTATATAGGAAGTGTGGGGGCTTATTACATCTCAATTTCAGGTTCTCTTTTCCCTTTTTATTTTACAAGATATTAATTTGATATTTAGTCACACTACATTTAATGTTATCGTACTACAAAACACCATCTCAATAAAGCAAACTCGTTCGGGTTGCGACACGTGTCCTTGCCTGTTAAGCACCATTAGATGGACGATTACCGAATCCAGTCGCATTTAATGCGTATCGTACGGACGATATCCTGGTAATGATTAGTACTGATCGGACATGCTACCTGCGTCTCGCCCGGTCTTCATCCCTGCTCGGTCTGTTTCCCAGTCTTCCATTTCTTGAACCCGAGTAGTCTTTATTTAATTTAATATTTCTGTACGTTCGGTCTCTACCCCGTACAATGGCCCCCAGATTCGGTAAATACGGATGAACCTGTATGAAACGTGTTTATCGAAGTTGCTCTACGAGATTAGACTGAGACGAACGGCACACGGTTAACGAATTAAATGTCGTTTCATGAAAAGACGTGCTCTTTCAGATGTATTGGCCGACAATAACTGCGTCGTGCGACGTGTCACAACCGTATTGGTTCAGTGACATTAATGGCGTATGCGAAACGCTTCGCTGTCTTGCACCGTTTCAGATTTAAATCGTCATATCCCTTCAAAATTCAAATGTCTACCTATAAATACCGATTTTCCTCACTTAAAACTTTTTTCCTTACTTCTATTTCTCAATCTATCCTTGAATTTTCTGCGTCGCGAAGCACGAACAAGGGCTCTATCCGTTCGGCCGTTCTGGGACTTCTTTAATTCCTGATAAGGTAACTTCCTCTTTCCGTTTTCGACACCTTTTTCCTTTGTTTTCTCGTCCTTCAACAACGCTCCGAGTATGTCTACGTCCTCCGAGAGTTACAACGAGGAGCAACATGAAGAAGCCCTTCAAGGGGATACGTCGGGCCGATTGAGAGTTCTTTTACCCAAAGAAACCCCGAGGAGGACCTAAAAATCGAGGAATCGCTCATCGCCATTTCAAGGGGGTATTGGTGGCGACCGTATCGCGAATGGCCGACTCAGACTTTGTTTTCGATCGCTCAAACCCCGATTGACATGTCGGACGACAAAGTCATGAAGTTGCGCACCTCCATCCGTCTTCCCGTGGAGATTTGGATGTTCGCCCCATACAGGCGAGAGCATATTCACTGCCCGTCGCCCGGATATGTTGGAGTTGCCGACGGTCTGTAGTGTTCGGTTTGCGTTTTCCTCTGCCCTGCATATTAACCGAATATCTTCGGGATTGAGGGATCGGTTTTAGTTAAGTTTCCCCGATCACGTGGCTAAAAATAATAAGCCTGTTCGTTCTTTTTCACGAGAAAGGCTGAAAGCCCCGAATTGCAACGACATACGGGCGCTGTTTCTTTATAAGAAGACCCGAAAAAGGTCCGGACAATTTTCGATCTCCGTCCGAGAGGCAACTATCAGCACCCTGATAACGAAAGTGCCGGAGACCATTAACAAGTATAAGAAATCTTGGTTCTGGGTCGGCCGCCAGTGGTAAACTCCCAGAGCGGATGGAGATCCCGAGGCGTCCGAGTTTCTTACCGTCCCCACTAGATTTGTAGCTAAAATGGGTTAGTTTAATTCCTTTTATTTTGTCCGTCATTTATTCTGATTTTCTGTTATTTTTGTTCGTACTAACAGGTGCGACTCGTTATTTCAGCGAACAACAAGTATATGCCGGAGTTAAGGGAGCTGTTCGTTCAACGGCTGCACAAGTTGCTTGATTTGGACGAGTCTGAGAGAGAGGGGTTGTAACGCCCCGTTTTATTTTAAAGAATTATCGAATTTATTTATAAAAAATCAGAGTTAAATTTTCGCAAAATCTCAATTTAAAACTTTAATATTCAACAGACGCAACTTAACTACCAAAAATAATTAAATAATTCAAACAGTTAAGAAAGATCTACACATGTATAAAACTAACAGTTTAAGATAAAATTCCAAACATTCAAATCCTCAAACCCAGTCATGCATAAATAAATATTCCAACATGTTCGAAATAAATAAAGCGGAAGCAAGATCATTCAAAGTTAAACAAATGGTCTATCGAGATAAGAAATAGAAAGGCGGAAGCAAGCAACACACAATTCAACGACCACCACTCGATCGTCTCTCGCTGCCGCCGCCAACCATGCTCAACCTAGAAGATAGAAAGAGGAACAAGAGGACAAAAAAGTAAATGGGGGTGAGTACAACCATCATACTCACCATTACCGCACAGTATATTTCGCATAAAGATCCATAACCATAAATAATGTATGCATAGAATCCAGATCTAACTCCCTATTAGGCCCTATCGCAAACCTCCTATGTACATACAACAAACATCCCGACCAGACATCGGGGAGGATGTAACTGGAAGCACTCCCACCCCGGATGCAACGGGCGTAGGATCTTACCAGGAGACAGTGAAGTTGAATTACCCCTCCGCTCTACACGGATTCGGGCGTTCAGACAATCCCCTCCGCTCTACACGGATTCGGGCGCCCACCTCCCGGATGCAACGGGCAGGTGACTTCCACAGATTATGCATTTGTCAAAGGCACTACCATCAGGATACTTAGACTAGGGTTCTCACGCATACAAAAACTATCGCGACAAACATTTATACGAAATAACAAGTGCGATAAATGTAGATTCAACATAAATGAACCCACCTGGATGCGACTGGAATAACCACAAAATAAGGTAGACGGCGAGGTCGACTCGTCAAACACCTACATTAGTACAATAGCCTTATTACCGACTATTCTATAATCACTAAGCCTAACTAAGTTCATATAGTCAATTAAGTAAGCATTAAATTAAGGGAAAACACATTTTCGAAAATATCACATGAGTTTTTGAAAATTAGACCCGACATCGTTTTTTAAAATCGATATAACTGTCAGCATATAACTCATATGAACATGAATCAAGTTGCATTGGAATCCTAAGACATGAATATACAATTCTTATGAAGACACTGAAAGCAAATAAGGTCATTTCATAGGTGATAAATCAACAAACATTAAAAGTTGAGCCACAGTCCAAAACTGGGAAAATAAACTTGACCAGACTTTAGTAATTACCATATAACTGGAGCTACAGGCATGCTATTAATAAAATTCAAAAACCACATGATAGGAAACTCCAATGTCTATAACTTTTCTGAAGATCACATTGGTAAATAATCACATTATCAATGAGTTTAAACACAAAACATGTGATTCAGTAAACCTGTCAGGATCTAATATATAACATGGACAGCACTTCAGTTTCTAACACTTATCTCGAGCTACAGACCTCTAAATGATATGGTTAAAACCTCCAATTAAACCATAAGAATGCCTATAAAACTTTCATTTAGAACACAGAATCATATGAGGTCATTTGGATAGTGAAAAATCGGTTAACATTCAATCTCAGATTTCTGTCAACATGATAATTCCTAACTCATGCATATCTAACTTTATAAAATCATAACTCGAGCCACAGAGCACATATCAACATTAAATCTATCTCATTGGAAAGGTAAGAAACAGATCTATAACTTTCATGAAGAGTCGAAGTTCATACGAGCACATTATGACATGAAAAACAGATCAAATATTAAACACAATTATGCTGCCAGGTATGGGAAAAACTGGAAGTACAACAAATCTTTTAAAAATCTTAACCTTTCCGATATAGATCGGAATTGAGAAATTCCAAATCCTAGATATAGAAAACTCAGCATAATACATATCTCATGAAGGGAACAACTTCAAATATTCAGTCTATAATGGCTCAAAACGCAGCACAACAGAGCAGTGAAAAACATGATTTCACATAAAATGACAATCACATGTATATTGGATGTTCGAATCTCACGCTCGGTTCATACAGCATCTCGACAGCAAGGAATATCATTTAAAATTCAGAAATGAACGAGCATAATGAGGAATTATCACAGCCTCTAATGATGTGCGATATATTAGACGAAAGTTATTCGAATCGTTCGAATCGACATATATCGGCACTCGAGATATTGAACGTATAATCACCGCACATAAAATCACCGAACATCTCTATATCACGAAATAATACGTAATTAAAATAACAAGATATCGAGACTCGTTACCAATCTTGGGAAAGTGTTCGGAAACGGAACGAAAAGACGAGCGGCAATCGGCTCGACGGCGGAGCTTTGTCTCGCGGGAGAAGTAGCGGCAGTTGACGTGTCCATCTCGGTG